GGTAAGTGAAAATAGATGGAAATTCAGGATTTTTTTATATTGCCTTGTAGAATTAAGAACTTAAAACTTGTATACTATTAAAATATGGATTATTAGCTAAGATTTTATGCTATTCTAATTGGTATAACATAAAAAAAAGTAGTTTAATAAAATTTTGAATGTAAGACACTAAAACTCAGGGTGATAGGGTTAAAACAAGTGGATTGTGTGCCATTTGTTTATTGTTGACATTTATTGCCAATAAGTCACATACACCTGCTGTAAAGAATCCTACCATATAAAACAAAACATGACAATTAATAAATGTTTTCTATGTAACTTGTTCTTATAGGAGTGACACTGCACACTGTTTTCTACAGAAAACCCTCTATTGAAGATAAATAAACTCAAAAGTACTTGTCCTAAGTGAACAAAATTTCACCAAATGTACAATATTATGAAAATTCTTGAAGAGGGAATGATTCATAGTAGAAACTGTCACCATATACCAAAAGTTAGGTCATTGTCTCTAGATAAAAGAAATTGATGTTGGCATCATTATAAAATGATTTTGCTACTTGTTTAAGCCCCATGTATCAGGAACCCCTTTGTGTCAATAAATCAAAAAGATGGACTAATATATATGTACATAATTTGATCAGACATGTTAAAAGAAAAATGTTTTAGTCCATAGAATAACATAAACATTCATTTTGGTGTGTATCTATTGATGTATGTATAAAAAATAAAAAATACTCAGTCACAATTATCTCCTGCCTCTTTAATAATACAGGTGTTTTGGACAGTATACAAATACATATGTAGGAACATATGATGAATATAGTAGAGAATCTGTATTTAGACATTTAGTTATGGGTAACATTTTGGTTTTCATCAAGATTAACTTCAAAGTCAACTTGGTTGTTTTTAAAAGATAATATCACTGAGGGCCTTCTCAGTGAACCAGCAATGGGTCAGGAATAATCAAATTCATTTCTCAGTGATACACTAATGAAGAAAATGACAAGCTTCCACAAGGTTAGGCACAAGGTGAAGAGAAAGACATTTGAGTCTCTCTATGACTGTTACAACAGAAAAGCAAAAAACAGTATAAGTTAAGGCTGATTGAGACTTGTTCTGGAGGCTTGTTGTGCCAGTGGAGTCAGGATGGGACATCAATTTGGATATCTTATTGCAAAAGACCAGTCCAGTGCCTTTATCACTGGCAAACACAGATGGAAGCTTGAAATCTACAAACAAATCACAGCTAGCACAAATTTTAGAGGATAAAAATATTGAAACAGCCTTGCCAGAATCAGATATGCTAGAATGCACAATCATAGATGGGATAGTTCTTATTTAAGCCCTTGGGAAACCAAATGGGCTGAAAACCTTACAGCAGCTATCACAACTAACTTCAAAGAAAATTGTACTCGAGTTGATATTATGTTTGATCAATATAACGCAAAGTCTATCAGACCTGGAACTAGGACAAAATGTTAAAAAAGGCTGTCCACCTGTGAAACAATTGATTGAGAACAGGAGCTCAAAACTGCCAGATAATTGGCAAAACCTTATGGCTCTTGATGAAATCAAGAGAGATCTAGTTGACTTATTATCGAAAGAACTCACCAAAGTCAATCTCTAACAAGGCAATGAATTAATTGTCAGCAGAGGATTTACTGATTGCAAAAAGGTAGTTCCTCAGATTTTCGACATGATGTGACCAGTATCAGTGCACCTCATGAAGAAGGGGACAGAAGGGTCATTCTTCATGCACAAGAAGCTGCAGCACGTGGGTACCAGAGAACTGTTGTTATTGGCAGAAACACAGGTATTCTTGTGCTATTGTTAGAATTCTGTGATGACACTGCCTCTCAAGAAATTTGGATGAAAAGTGGCATCAATCAAAAACCCAAGTTTGTTGCTGTACACAGTAGTTTTGCCAGACAATATGAGGAGGAACATATTACAGTTTCATGCACTTACAGGATCCGATAGTACATCACAGTTTTCAGGCATTGGAAAGAGATCTGCTTGAAAAGTTCTTTGCATGGAATAATGCTCAATTATTGCAGGATCTTAGCGCAGAACATCTGAGCAGTTCAGAAGCCAGATACGATGCCAATTCATTTGTTTGCAAGTTGTACAAACCAACAACCTCCATCACCAGCATACAGATTCTAAGATCTGCAATGTTCAGAACATCTAAAAAGGTATTTGAACCATTACCCCAACCCAGGATTACTGATGTTGCATGTACTCCATGCTCATTACTAGGCTTTTGCATGGCACAATGGAAATGTACTTCAGATTAACCTGCCTACTCTTCTGCTTATTGGCTGGAAAGAACAAAGTGATACACTGGTCCCCATTCTTATGAGTAAAGAAGCTGTTCCTGCAAACTATCTGCAATTAACAACTTGTGGATGCTCGATTGTTTGTTTGATTGTTTTGAAGTGAAGCACAAAGCTACATAATAGGCTATCTGTGCTCTGCCCACCATGGGTATGAAAATCCAGTTTCTAGCATTGTAAGTTTGCAGATATACTGCTGTACCACTGCAGGGCACTTGTGGATGCATGCAAGCTGAACAACAATGCAGAGGCCAACAGTGTATGTTCACAAGAGCTGGCTTACGATGTACCTCTGCTTGTGTTTGAGGACTGGTGGTAGAACTTTGTGTGACAGATGGAGTTTTATCTACAATGAAAGAATAAGCCTTCTCAAGTCACGGGCCATGTTTGGCTTGGAACCAGATGCAAGTGATGACAATGAATGGGACCACAAAGACCTGAGGTCTTTCCACAAAAAAAGTGAAGAAGCTGATGTTATGTTCTTGAAAGAAGAATTTAAAGGTCGCCAGGTCTTCAAAACAACATCACCAAGTCTGATCAACATCTTTAGTGGTGATGTTGTTCCTGTAAGCATCATTGGTCACTTACTGATCATCATTGCACCAGCCCATGATTATGATGTGTTTTGGACTGTAATGACTCAATGCATGGATATCACAAATTCCCTAAGACCAATTCACTATCCTCACTTTGGATGAACAACTGTACTCAAAAGCTAAAATGCTTCAGTGGTTCAAAAAGATGAGTGTCAGAACATCATCTTGATGTTTGGCACATTCAACACTAAGATGAACTTATAAAAAGTCATAGGGAAACACGACAAATTCAGGTTTGAAATACATTTGGATTGACAGTGGAGTATTTGGAAAAATACAGCTGATAGAATACTCCAAGGTACATTGAAATCATTATGAAGGGTTCTCTGGCCATGCTTTGAGGAATGGATGACTAACAATGAAACGGAAATTAATAGTTGCATCCCTAAGTGTGTCTTGGGTTCACTGTGACAAACGATGGACAAATCGGTGATAGCGTTCAGGAGATGACACCCCTTGTGGAAAATCTACTGGTCAGTTTGAAAGAATTTGACTCATTTCATTCTGACAATCCAACTGTTTTTGAGGCAGTATATGGACATGGTTGGGATTCTTTTACATTTCACTTATGCCCTTCGCTGTGGAAACTGGAAATTGTACTTAGCCATTCTTGCTGAAATGATCCCATGGTTTACGTTATATGACCATACCAGTTATATAAGATGGGCCACTGTATTTCTTGTTGATGCTTGGCATATTGCAAAAAAAAGCACTGGCAGTCCACAAAGAATTTCTTGATGATGGATGACCAAGGCTTGGAACATATCAATAAACTGGCAAAAGTAGCAGGTGGACTGATAGGAATCATAAGTTATGAATCTGTTCTACATGTCGACACATCACTTGCCACTTCATCGCTGGATGAGTACAAGAAAAATGGAAAAATTGTCATTCCTTCGAATATTGCACACCTCAACCTTTCTGGTTATTTCAGGTCTCCTAACAACAATATTGACATAATGAAAAAACCCTTGACGGGAAGGTACCTTTCATGCATCACAATCATCAATACTTGTGAGACCAGATGCCAACACTGAAGAATCCCCTATCCATGTGAAATTTACCACTGACAAAGCTGCAAAGATCCCTCAAGAACTTCAGGAACTGAAGCACTCAGCAATTGGTTCTCAACAGCCTGAATCTTTTTTCTGGGGAAAAGTCAACAAATATATGTTCAACTCAGATGAAAACACAAAAAACTATTGCTCATGTGCAGGATGTACTTTGGATTGGAGTGGATTCAACCAAACAATGAATGAAAAAGGCAAAGCAGCTGATGGAATGATCTGCAAAATGTGGCAATTGGACAAGCCTCTTAGGTCGTGTTGCTTGGTGAACAGTAACACCAAGTGAAATGTGCTTAGGAGTCTTTTTCCGGCTGTTTGGTTTTCACTTTGCTGCTGGAGTCGTAACTTGTGTCTTTTAAGTCCTCTGTAAATTTGGTACAGATCAAATGGAGGAGTAAAACATACATGGAGGGATAACCTTTTCAGCATGGTGATGATGTTAGTTCCCCATGAAACTTGAGGGCAACTTGATATAACCAACCCAGTATTTCATATTCTGGATCAATTGTCTCATCCGATGTAATTTGGATATTGTTTGTTTCCTGAGATGATTGTTCATTTGTAACATGTTGCAATGTTTGAATAGCCAATCCTGATGAAAAGGCAGGGAACAAAAGAAGTGGTTCACGAGGATTCAAATGATGTACAAATTCTACCTGTCCAGACAAGTGTTAAAGTATGCAGTCTTTGAAATTCCAGCTGTGGTATGTTCCTGGTTCTTCATCAACTTGAGAAAGCAAGTCAGAGTATCTTTCCCAGATGGTATCTATGGGATATATATATCTCATCTTTCCAAGCCATCCTTTAGTTCCTTCATTACAGTGCCAAAGTATACATCACCCTGTGCATTTCTTTGAGCAGCTGAATGTTTCCAAAGAAAGGCTGTATAGCATTTGAGATGGTACTTGACCTATGCTGCTATGAGATCATTTATTCTAGCCACTCTGCAATGCATAATGGGATAACGTTTTGACAAACGAATGATCTTTTTAGAAGTTGGTTCAGTTTGATTGTCAGTGAGCTTCGAATTCTTCACTTCTGTCTAACAAAATAGACATTTATCCCAAGACATTTGAAACAAATTCCAAGAGATCACAGTATTCCAAAATTAAACCAGTTCTCAGGATCACTATCAAGCGACAATCAGCAATAATGTATTCTACCTATATCTCGTGAACTAACATGTTTATGATCAAAGAAGGATTTTTATGTAGTGGTTATACCACCAGGTTACATCTCATGTGACTAACTAATTTACATAACTTTCACAATATTAACATCTATATGTCACCGCTAGGAGAAGCTTATGTCAGTTTCAACTTCATAATACAAACATTCTCAAATTCAATGTGCTCTAGCTAGAAGGTGAGTTAGTGTTTTACTATAACTAAGAATTCATATTTGAGCTAAATGATATAGAAATAATAATAAATAAACTTGAAACAAAATCATAAGAAAATAAAAACATTCAAAATAAAAGTTGAAATCGCTATCTCACATGCTGACACTATGCTTTATGTTATGGATAATAAGTAAACATTTTCATGTAATTTCTGTTGTCCCAATTTAGAGTCTGTATATTATTTCCTTGATAATAATTATAAGTATGGTTATCACTTTCTTGTTCCTCTTTTGATACTACATCAGTTTTTACATAATGTGTAAATATTTTCAGATTATTTTCTTACTCTCAATTCCATGAACAGTGTTTTAGATAATAAGTAAATAAATTTCTGCATTTTACTTTTAGTTTTCCACTATCAACAATGTTCATTGATATGTAACCAATAAGTAAACCAAGTTTTTTTCCCTATCGAAACTTTATATTGTTTTCCAGATTAAAAATTTAAGTTCTGTTGCTACCTGCTATTTTATTTTTCCACTGTTGAAACTGTTTTGTGTATGAATCTCCATCACCAAAGTGAATGCTTTTTCAGCTCTGGGGGCATTATAATGTGATGGTGAATCCCACTATTTATTGGTAAAAGAGTAGCCCAAGAGTTGGCAGTGAGTGGTGTTAACTAGCTGCCTTCCCTCTAACCTATCTCTGCTAAATTAAGGATGGCTAGTGCAATTAGCCTTGAAGTAGCTTTGCATGAAATTCAAAATAAACAAACAAACACAATTTTGTATTGTTTTGAAGTAGTAAAGTATACATGTTTTCATAATAATATTGTACCACTGGGATGTATTTTGTTACATAATAAAGAAACATCTGTTTTCTGGTGATTTTTTCTTCTGTTGTTTACACTAAGCATAATTTTTGAGATAATATGTACACATTTTATTTCATTTTCAGATTTTTCTGAATTAGCACATTATGTTTATTGTTTTCTATTTCTATGCAAATAAACATATTATTCTTATTTTATTTGTTTTTTTAATTGTTTTCTAGGTAATGAGTAAATAATTTAATGACCATTTAATTATGCCAGTATTAAAATTGTGCATCGTTTTTGTTGTTCCAATGTTAATAACATACATTGCTTTGTACTTAATGAGTATATGTTTCTTATTTTATTGTTCTGCTTTTCATACTGTGCATTATTTTTAGTAGAAACAGGTGATATTTTAATTTTTAGGAATTTCATTTAAAAATATTGTACTTTATACAATACTTTATCAAATTGCAAATAGTGTAATATTCATTAGCTTTGTATTTTTTGATTTTCTAATAATTTTTTGCTGAATATCAGGTACCAATAGTAATCTGGAAGATGAAAGCTCCAGAAAAGAAGCCTTTAGTTCGAAAAGAAATATTTTTGGAAGTACATCAAAAACTTCACCACAGAGACCACAAAAAAGAAGTTCCAGCAGTAAAAGCTCTAAGCGAGTTCCATAGTTTTAAAGAGTTATCTGAAGCATAGTTAGATCTTTTATGATTTCTTTAGTCGTAAGTTGGCAACTGAATACTTTCATTAGTTTATCATTTCATTGCACAATGTTTTTGATTGTACTTTAAATATTTTGCTATACAATGAGTATTGTTAATGTAAAAAAAAAGACATTCAACAGTTTATTATCTTATTGTGCCATTTTTATAACTGTTCTTGATATATTTTGCTAAGTAATGAGTATGTAATCAACAGATTTTGACTAGTTTGTCATCTTCATATTTTCTCAAAGTAACAATTATTGCTAAAAACAGACATTCACTATTTTAATATGTCATTGTGTCAGGTTTATAATATTCTTAATATTTTGTTAAGTAATGATTATTCTAATTAACTAAGTATTCACTAGTTTAACCCTATGGCATGTTTATAACTTTTTTAACACCTGTAAGGATAAGGTTTTGTAGCAGTGGAAGCAGTCATCATCAATTTCAATCAATCGATTTGAAGCAGCCAGTGGTCCATTGAAGCTATAAATAGTCTATATCAGTGGTTTCTCAACCTTTTTTTTTGTTCGTAGCTCCCTTTTGAGTTTGATTTCTCTGTAGCCTCCACCCTTTGTAGATGCTGTTACTTAGGAAAAAAGTTACTTTATTCCCACACTGTTGATTTATAATATAATAATATTATTTTTACAATATTGTATTGTTTTTAAATATTTTGTTTATAACATACTGTTTACTTATACATGTAAAAAATATTCTATTACTCATGGAGTGGCGTGCCACACAACCATAGTTTTGCTGCTCTTGAGAATCAGTCACAGATACCAGATAAACATTTTGATTGTTACTTGAGTACAAGTCACATCTGGTAAGTTGACTTCTGAGCTGTAGGGGATACGAGGAGAAGGAACCTTTGATTCAATTTTAAATTCGGGCAGTGAAATTTTGGTGGCCCACTCAGAATTTACTGTGGTCCCCAAAATTTCTGTCATTCATGTGTGGCCCCTTAGAAACATGGCATGGTCCCCCTGGGAGGCCATATGGCCCACATTGAGAACCACTGGTCTATATCATCATGTTTGGTTTTTTTACCAATGATATTGGTCAAAAAAAGGAAACTTAAAAAAAACTATTTCTGAAATGGTTCTTTTTTTTCCTTACCTAACTTGCAGGTATGGGAAATTTTAAAGTATATCAAATAAATATGCTAAATTTTTGGATGAAA